GTATGCTACTGTCTTGTAAGACATCTATTCTTCGTCACTAATATGACCTTATTGTGTTGCAAGTGCTGTAAAACTCTTTCTAAAACTAAAAGGATTGGGTGAGGGGGTTGTAGGGTGCAGTTTTAGCATTCTTTTGTAATGACAACAAGAGAGTAGCAGCCCATTTTTGAAAATTGGTCGCTTTTAAGAACGAGCGGGCTAACCCAGATTTCGGAGGTTTCCAGAAATCTTGACCTGCACCAAAAGTGGGCATTGCCCTACCTATAGGATAAGTTTGGTTTCGTTGGTGTGTATATTTGTCTGGTTATACAGAAAACTCTCCGTGTGTTTTAAAGAAACTGAACAAGAGTCCAAAAACTTTACCTTCGATTTTCTCAAAACAGCATTCTTCGGGATAGCCCCCTTGTGCGTAAAAGCGACCAATTAATGTCATCGTTTGTATTAGATCCCGCTGTAGATCATGTCACTGTGGGAAGAACGCTATGTACTGTCGTTACCATGATGCACTGCTGTCGGTATACCCCCCCTCCCCCCATCCCCTACCCTCTTTGTTATAGTTTACCATATTGTGTACTTGGCATACTGATCTTTTTGCCTTGGTCCCTTCATCCCACCCCCTTCTCTGTCTGTCTGTCTGTCTGTCTGTCTGTCTGTCTGTCTGTCTATATATCTATCTATCCCTCCCTCCCCCCTTCCACCCCCTCTCAATGCCGCCATTGCTCACAGTATTGCGTCCTCTATTTATTGTCGCCCACTCTCTCTCTCTCTCTCTCTCTCTCTCTCTCTCTCTCTCTCTCTCTCTCTCTCTCTCTCTCTCTCTCTCTCTCTCTCTTATTCTCTCTATTTCTCTCCATATCTCCTTCCTTTTCCTGTCACATTTCATTTCTCCCACCACTGCAATCTGCTCACTGAGGCGCGCACGTGCATGCACGCTGTCACGCACGATCTTTTATCGCCCCAGGCTGCTTCCCTCATCCCTTCTCACTTCTTTGGAACCCTCTGTTCACTCTATTCGCGTTTTTGTTTACTGTTGCTATTGCCGACAACAGTAGTGATGGTTCTGAATTAGCTACCTTAGCTACTCCTCGCCTCTGGCGTCAGGTGTGATAGTGAGAAGCCGTGGACTTTGCCGTCATATCTCGCCGATCCGCGATGTTTCCTCCCCAGTTTCTTTGGATTTCCCCCACAATACCCCTTTGCCTTTGATGGCTAGGGTTTTTACTAGATGAGCCTTGTGATGTGATGGCAAAATGTTAATTAAATGTGCGCGACAAGTACTGGGTAGAATCTTCTGATTTAGTCAGTTTTTTTCACCTCGTAATGTTCACATTGTTTTACACATCGTATCCCTTGCATTAAAACGGGAGACGGATGGACGACCATAATATTATTCGGCTACGGACTCCTTAGTTGTGCATTGTCAATTGACGAAGTTGAGATCCAGGTGTCCATAACCACCGTAAACAGTCTTCTTGAAAAGGTAATGAATGCAGGGGTATTTGAATGGTTAGAACAGGTGTGAGTGGGTGGTTGGCGGGTGCTGTTTGCTCCTTCTTTCCTGACAAACTTCTATTGTCCTTATCTCTCCTTTTTTTTTTCTTTGCGTTTGCTGCTCTTTTGTAACGCCTCTAATTTCGGCACTTATTTGAACTTATTGTGTTGCAAGAGCCGTAAAACTCTGACCAGAACAAGCTGAACAGCTGTCTGCATTGATTCACATTTTTTCAATTTTGTCTTTGGTTTCACATTGCTATTTTGGCCAGACTCTCAACTCGATGTTCCGGCTTCGCGGACCAAGTTAGTACACAATTTCGATATTGCCAATTGTGTGTGTATGTAGCAAGTTGGTTGAACTGAATTTAAAACGTGTAAATACAAACGTTCGCAGTCGTGTATCTCCTCCAACGATTTGGCCAACGTTTCTGGCTTGGTCATCCAGTTGATATCTGTTTGCCTATTCAATGATATA